TATAGATACTATTCATCATCAAAGCCTCAGGCCTTGCCTTGGAGAATTTCGAACTTCTACTTTGCATGGTCGAATGGTCGAATACCTGTTTATAGACAAACACGGTATCTGGCATGGAGACTTGGTGCTAAGCTGTCCGCATTCACGGAGTTCATTTAGTTCAATATCGGACACAGGATCAGCTCGCTCGGGTAAGTTTTCTTTTCCTTGTATTTTTAATTATTTTTGTTTTGATTTCAAAACCTCTCCGAATTCAGCAAAGTGCTTCGAATTCGCAACCAGATGCTGGTAATCATGTCGCTAAGGTAACACTCTATGCTACCCTTGATCTCCTTTAAAGTAGACAGTTCGAATTCTGAACTGTCTGATGTGCATGCCGAAATGATAAATTTGCAAATAATAATGTTCAGTTGCACCTTTCCTGTGTCATTAACCCTCATAGTCATATGGTCCCCGGACGTCAGTCAGCCTGCATACCGCTCAGCGCCGTACTTTGCAGACGTCGCGGTTACGAAAAACGTATACATTGTATAAAAAAGTGTCACGTTCTTATTTCTTCACACAACGTTACAAAATTGTACGAAATAGTGTATCGTTATGATGTCTTTCGGAAAGTCTAAATGTTGTTGCAAAATGAATTTGTTTTTATTCTCATGCCATCGTTGAAAGTGTGAGTAGTCATATTTTTCGTGTTTTTCTTACCTGTATACATTTGTGAACTAAGTTCATGTCAACTTGTCAAGTTTAGTCTTTTTCATTGTGTTTTCATTTTCATTGGCAGTTATCGATGTCATCATCGTTCAAAAAGGCAAACCTGTCTATACAATGTCCGGTTTTTGGATTCGGGTTGTCGAAACATTCATCAAACAGCAAGCCCTCTAACACAGACGCAAAGGACTTGGTGGTGATGATCTTGGCGCCCTAGAAACAGTTTCTGGCAACATCACAATCTGAATCTTGGAACTTCAATCTGGCCATATGCAGTTTTGACAACAAAGACATTAAATGTGTTCAGAGGTTGAATTAAACGAATAACTCTTCATGACAGTCAGATCTCCGTCCGCTTTAACGAGGTCATTTACTTTGACAGGTCTCAAATGGCCAGCCATGTTTGTTTACAAACGGGGACGTAGTTTTGGTGTTTACTGTAAAATGAAAATCATGTGAAATAAATGAAAAAATTGATAATGTGAAATCATGTTGTTAATATGAAACTATTTGTCTTGTCTTAAAAATCGCGAATCAGTGAGATTGTAGCACGTAAAACATCTGAAGAGAAAGGCGTGGATTTGTGAATGAATGGGATGAAAGAAAAAATAGTTCCGTTGTCCAATGAAAATTTATCTTTGTTCCACTGACCAATCAGCTTCGAGAATCACTAATTGCACACTGTGCAAATATCAAAAAGTTATTACACTGCATATTTGAGCCCATATGGGTCATAATCATGTATACGACGTTAAACCCCATATCACCTCACCTCACTTCATGAGCGACAGACATTTGGTGATGTTATATGTATCAGCCGGAAATATTATGTTCTTGTTCATCAATCGCAGGGATGGCGCGGGTGGCCCAGTCGTATAAGGCGCCGCGATTCGCTGTGCAGGGTTGCGTCCCTTGGGCACGCCAGAAACCTATGATTGTGAGTTCGAATCCCGGTTCGCCCCGATTATGTTTCTAGGTTTGTCAGCACCATACCCGTGCTCGTGGGTTTCACCGAAGTGGTAAACGTCCAAGACCTGCATCACTTCGGGCTTTCCTCCCACATTAAGCTGACACGCCGCGTTATAACTGGAATTCTGTTAAAAGCGGCGTTAAACCAAACTCACTCACTCGCTTAAGTAGTTGTGTCGAGTATCGAGGCTGGTTCAACTTTTTTTCAAACTGATTGTGGTTTAAATTAACTATGTGAAATAGCAACATAATATATGTCGGGCCTTTCTATTTAAGAAAGGAGAGATCAAGGACGTGATGTGGATGCAAATAACGATGATGTAATCGACCAAACTGAAGCAGAAAATGTCATTGACGCACGTGCTGTGAAGGATGTACTTTCTCTTGCGGATGATGGTTAGTGGATTTTATTTTGAGCGTAACTTTGTTTTTTTCAAATGCTTATTTGTATGGTACAGTATTTATGAGTCACATTCACTGAAGTGTGGCGCCAGGGCGGTCCAGTCATCTACGGCACAGACATTCGACGTTCATAATTACGCTCTTAGATCGCTATATGGCAGAAATATTGCCGACGCGACGTTAAATTACTTACTCAAGCACGCTCTTAGGCATGCAAGAAACCATTAATTTGGTGTTCGACTCCCACATTCACTTTCGGCTTTCCATGTAGGATAAAACACGTCCGAGTGTTTTTATGAGATTTTAAACGTCAGAAACCTGTGATCTTAGGTTCAAATCCCGGTTTGTCCCAATAATGTTTCTAGGTTTGTCACACCCTAACAATGCTCGTGGGTTTAAGTAAAGTGGTAAACGTCTGAGACCTGCATCATTTCTGACCTTCCTCCCACATTAAGCTGGCATGCCGTTATATAACAGGAATACTGTTCAAAGCGGCGTTAAACCCAACTCACTCACTCACTCACACACTCACTTCACTGTTTATAGATGCTGATCTGAGACGAGCGGGCGAAGACGAGGAGGATGTCGACAGTAACGTCAACGAGTAGTGTTATCATGATAACATGTCCTGGATAAATAAACTTGCAAACTGTCACACGTTTTTGTCTTGCTTTAGGCTGTACATATATCTTGCCATCATGCATTCAGCATGACCAACGACAACTATTGTAGGTAGCAGGTACATATGTAGTCGTTATGACTGATTGTTTGTTGTTTAACGCCGCACTCAGCAATATTCAAGCTATATGACGGCGGTCTGTAAATAATCAAGTCTGGACCAGACAATCCAGTGATTGACAACATGAGCATCGATCCACGCAATTGGGATCGATGACAAGCATCAACCAAGTCAGCGAGCCTGGCCACCTGATCCCGTTAGTCGCCTCTTACGACAAACATAGTCGCCTTTTACGGCAAGCATGGCCTGCTGAAGACCTATTCTACCCCGAATGAACAGAAACATGGTTTAGGCAAATTGGACACACCATCAATAGCAATACCACAGCAGGGGACATCAAAAAGACTTTCAATCACGACTCGAACCCGGTCTCCGGTGTGACGAGCGAACGTTTAGCAGTTGGGCTACCCAACCGCCTCGTCAACAACCCTTACCCCTTCTTCATGGTAGCCTTGTGGTTAAAGCGTTCGCTCGTCACGCCGAAGACCCGGGTTCGTTTCCCCACATGGGTACAGTGCTAATGTCCTCCGTCGTGATATTGCTGGAAAACTGCTGTAAGCGACACCCAGACACTCTTGACGAAGTCGGTTCTTCTTAAAGTATTAGAGTATTTTACTCAGGAGCCGAGAACAGAGCCAACTGACCAGTGTCCCTGTTAGAATATGGGCCTTTGGGAGCATCCATTTAATTTCGGGGGGTGGGATGTGAGGATACAGAAATATACCCACAATTAATAGTTTGTTTGCTGAAACTAATGAATAGTTGTTTTGTGGGAAATAATCAAACGTCATCCTTTTGGTGTTAATAGTGAAAATGAATAGAGTGTTTGGTAAATACATAGTTTGTTGGATCCAGCTGGAAAAAAATAGATTGTTTTCAAAATCCTTCACTATAGGAAAGTTGGTACTTAAATGACAATATTTAACAAAAATTGACTTTACATAGTGTGCCCATGTGGCGACCTGACGACTGAACGCTTTAAACTACCTGTCGCTTGAATCTAAATGAGAGTACCACCGCAAATTGATCTCGTGGTTGTCTCAGATATTATATGACTGTTTCAGTCACTTCGCGTAGGTTCACGGAAGTATTTAGAGTGATCTCCCTTAGCTCACCGGGAGTTGACATTCGACAAGAGCTTGAAATATAATATTTCATCAACATGTAGAGTTATTTGCATCCGCGTGTACAGATAAACATGTCATGGGAATACCACTTTACCATGTTAACAGGGCTCGGCATCCGGTGTACCAAAAGCAGGTTGACACCTCAAAAAAGAGGTTTGGTTTCAGTATATAATATTATAAGTTGTTGTTTTTTTATGAAGCGTTTATAGTATTTGGTTTACGGAACTGCCGACAACTAAATCAGGAATGTTTAATCCCAGTTTTAACTATATTCTATTACTGCCAAGCCGAAAATCACACTTACGAAAAACATTAAAAACATAATTGTTTCCTGTAGAATTTCATGCTCAGTAATTCTGCTTGATATGGATTTATCTATGACGTCGTGGTATGTAAACAAGGAGAGATTCATCATCTGTTAGAATTTATCTTCAACAACCCATGCATGCTTGTCGTTAGAGGCGACTAACGAGATCGGGTTGTCAGGCTTAGTGACTTGGTTGATGCATGTCATCGTATCCCAATCGTGTAGATCGATACTTATGATGTCAATCACTGGATTGACTGGTCCAGACTCGATTATTTACCGACTGCCGTGACATATATAGCTGAATAATGAATATTGACGAAAACCAACCAAATCTCTTGCACATTCAATGTATAAAATAACATATTGAATAAAACACACACATCCCCATTCATAAACGTATGATACCTGTGAACATCCGGGGTAGTTTAGGTCGTAGAAGGCGAATATGCTTGTCGTAAGAGGCGACTAACGGGATTGGGTGGTCAGGCTCGCTGACTTGGTTGATGCATGTCATCGTATCCCAATTGCATCGATCGATGCTCATGATGTCAATCACTGGATTGTCTGGTCCAGACTCAATTATTTACAGACCGCCGTCATATAGCTGGAATATTGCTGAGTGCGGCGTTATACAACAAACAATCAGTCATAACGGCTACCCGCTACCTACAATAGTTGTCGTTGGTCATGCTGAATGCATGATGGCAAGATATATGTACAGCCTAAAGCAAGACATAAAAGTGTGACAGTTTGCAAGTTTATTTATCCAGGACATGCTGCCATGACAACACTACTGGTTGACGTGACTCTCGACATCCTCCTCGTCTTCGACCGCTCGTCTCAGATCAGCATCTACAAACAGTGAGGTGAGTGTGTGAGTGAGTGAGTTGGGTTTAACGCCGCTTTGAACAGTATTCCTGTTATATAACGGCGTGCCAGCTTAATGTAGGAGGAAGGTCAGAAATGATGCATGTCTCAGACGTTAACCACTTTGCTGAAACCCACGAGCAATTTTAGGGTGTGACAAACCTAGAAACATTATTGGGACAAACCGGGATTTGATCCTAAGATCACAGGTTTCTGACGTTTAAAATCTCATAAAAACACTCGGACGTGTTTTATCCTACATAAAAAGCCGAAAGGGAATGTGGGATTCGAACACCAAATTAATGGTTTCTTGCATGCCTAAGAGCGTAATTGCGTGAGTGAGTTAAGATTTAACGTCGAATGTCTGTGCCGTAGATGACTGGACCGCCCTGGCGCCACACTTCAGTGAATGTGACTCATAAATACTGTACCATACAAATAAGCATTTGAAAAAAACAAAGTTACGCTCAAAATAAAATCCACTAACCATCATCCGCAAGAGAAAGTACATCCTTCACAGCACGTGCGTCAATAACATTTTCTGCTTCAGTTTGGTCGATTGCATCATCGTTATTTGCATCGACATCACGTCCTTGAACTCTCCTTTCTTAAATAGAATGGCCCGACATATATTATGCTGCTATTTCACATAGTTAATTTAAACCACAATCAGTTTGAAGAAAAGTTGAACCAGCCTCGACACTCTTAAACTACTTAAGTGAGTGAGTGAGTTTGGTTTAACGCCGCTTTTAACAGAATTCCAGTTATATCGCGGCGTGTCAGCTTAATATGGGAGGAAAGCCCGAAGTGATGCAGGTCTTGGACGTTTACCACTTCGGTGAAACCCACGAGCACGGGTATGGTGCTGACAAACCTAGAAACATAATCGGGGCGAACCGGGATTCGAACTCACAATCATAGGTTTCTGGCGTGCCCAAGGGACGCAACCCTGCACAGCGAATCGCGGCGCCTTATACGACTGGGCCACCCGCGCCATCCCTGCGATTGATGAACAAGAACATAATATTTCCGGCTGATACATATAACATCACCAAATGTCTGTCGCTCATGAAGTGAGGTGAGGTGAAGTGGGGTTTAACGTCGTATACATGATTACTGCACATATATACACGACGTGCATGCGTGTGTGGCTGCGTGTATACTAGCCAAACTTCTGCTGGGTTTATAGTGCTTGCCTACTAAGATACCACGCCGCAGTTTAACATGAATACCCCACTCAGACACAGTATACTAACTCCAAGGCGACCAGTCCTTGTTTTATCCCCTTAATGCCCAGCGCCGGACGACCCGTGAAGATTCCGGGGTAGAATAGGTTTTCAGCAACCCATGCTTGCCATAAAAGGTGACTATGCTTGTCGTAAAAAGGCGACTAACGGGATCGGATGGTCAGGCTCACTGACTTAGTTGATGCATCTATCCCAATTACGTAGATCGATGCTCATGATGTCAATCCCTGGGTCGTCTGGTCCAAACTCGATTATTTACAGACCGGCGTCATATAACTGGAATAATGCCAAGTGCGGCGTTAAACAACAAACTAACAAAAAAAAGCATTGCGAGAACAACGTTTTGCCTTGAAGTCCGCTGTTGAGGTCTGGTTTGGGGGCAAATCAGAAAGTTCTGTAATAGAGGGATGCAACGTCTTAACGGCAAATGGACCATGTGCTTCGAAAGGGTGGTTTATCATATATAAGGATAAACATAAATTTCACTTGGGCTTCCTCAGTTTTGTATGTTTTGCAGAACGCTTTGAATGCATCCCGAAGAAAAAGCACGTGACATAATTAAACATTATGGCTACATGGCCCGTTGCTTATTGTCTAATTTGTGTCCCGAGACATCGACGCTCTAATTATAGTATGTGTTTATAGCTAGATTAATATTCATATTTTAGAACACTCAGGGAACCATTTTTTTTTACTTTGGGGGCAAAAATGAGGCATAATTAATTTTAGCAGTATACGCAGTATAATCTCTCATTCGTCACCACTCGCCCCTTTCCGTAACCTGCAAGAAGACTTGTCCCGGAAGAACACGAGTTGGTCACGAATGTATAAACTCTCACCACAGCGCACGAATGCACATTTGATCCTGTTCCATATCCGATGTCTTCGGTTCGCGCGCAACCATCCCTCTGTGTCGGGTAGCGTGACCAGTGCCAGGAGAAGAAACACTAGAGGCAGGCGCATGATCTCTTCCTGTGGGAGCTACAACAAGAGAGTGAGTGAGTTGGGTTTAACGCCGCTTTTAACAGTATTCCAGTTGTATCACGGCGTGTCAACTTAATGTGGTGAAGCCTGAAGTGTTGCAGGTCTCAGACGTTCACCACTTCGGTGAAACCCACGAGCACGTGTATGGTGCTGACAAACCTAGAAACATAACCGGGGCGGACTGGGATTCGAACTCTGAATCATAGGTTTCTGGCGTGCTCAAGGGACGCAATTCTGCACAGCGAATCACTGCGCCTTAGACGACTTGGCCACCCTTGTCCCCTACAACGGGAGAGAGTGTGCTAGGTATAACGCCGCTTTGAACAGTAGTTCAGTCATCACGACAACCCATACTTGCCGTAAAAGGCGACTATGCTTGTCGTAAAAGGCGACTAACGAGATCGGGTGGTCAGGCTCGCTGACTTAGTTGATACATGTCATCGATCCCAATCGCGTGGATCGATGCTCATGATATCAATCACTGGATTGTCTGGTCCAGACTCCATTTTCTTACAGACCGCCGTCATATAGTTCGAGTATTGCTGAGCGCGGCGTTAAACAACAAACAAACAAACAAACAAACAAACAAACAGTCATTTCATCACGACAGGTCAGCACGATGAGGCAGGGTCCAGCGGCGGGTCTAGGTACGGGGAATCCCCTCGAACCGTGAGAGTAATCATTTAGAACTTGCGAACATAAATTGCCGGGCAAAATAAAGTGTACACTTTAAAATTGGATTTGACTAAAAATTACAAACGTTATGAAAACGTTACTAGTTGAAGACAAATGTCACTTTCGATTAGTAAAATATTACAAAATATGATGTCTTAAGAAATACGTTTCGTTCGTAATATTGTTCGTAATTTAGCTATGTATATATTTATCAATTAGAAATGCATATGTATTTTGACGCTCTATCACGTATGTAATTTGGGCCTATAAAAATTATACAACTATATGGATAAAAACTTCTGTTTTTTTGTTTTCTTCAGCTTGATAACGGTGTAAAAATCTACAACCAGAAGTTGTTATCCATAAAGTTGTATGTTTTCTTATCTACTCACCAACCTCTAGAATGCCAATCAAACAGTCACTATGGTCCTGTCCTCACAGCTGTGTGCATAAATACTATCCTATAGTATACAAACTTAAATGCACATGATACTCTCAATCATTTAAATCATTTTACGAATAAACTTGAATTCAATATTTAAAATGCACAATATGAAGCTAATGAAAGAATGCTACAGCTGAAAAAGGGACACTAGGAAAAGCATCTTACCTATGCGTGATGCAGTGATGGAGTGATGCAGTGATGCAGTGAAGCAGCGAGGCGGTGATGCAGCGAGGCAGGAACATGTGGGATGGGCAGTATATAAACACCACGCAGAAATGGACTTTCACACCATAATATTTAAAATCCCATCTGATATGTGCTCAGCAAAGCGTGAACTAAAAAATATCGATTAGCATAGAGTACAGAGTAACACGATGGAGTCAATGATATAGAGCGATCCAATCAGTTTGCCACCTCTACGTATTCAGGTGTCGAGGAATACTTTAACAATACGTCCATTAGCTAAACAGGTTTTTGTGTCAAGGACTTAACTTTGCTAACAGGTTATGTTACAGTTCAGAGTACTACTACAGTATATACTTCTAAAAAAAAGTTAAAGAACACCCAATTCACTCATATTTCCAGCTATTTCATATTAACAGTAAGTATAAAACAAATTTCTTGAAAAGTACTGTTACAACCAGGTATAGCTGATGAAAGAACAATTTGACGACATGTGTGTCGCCAGAGAGATTCGAAACCACAAAGTCCACAAAGAAAGCTACCTAATGTAGAAGTTCTGTGGCATGAACAGTTAATAGTTCAAGACTAATAGTTCATGCGTTTATGCTTGCTTGTTTGGTGTTGTTTAACGCCGCACTCAGCAATATTCCAGCTATGTCATATGACGGCGGCCTGTACATAATCGAGTCTGAACCAGACAATCCAGTGATTGACATCATGAGCATCGATCCACACAATTGGGATCGATGACATGTATCAACCAAGTCAGCGAGCCTGACCACCCGAACCCTTAAGCCCCATTCACATGGACACTTTTACTTACGTGAGTATATTTACTTACATAAGTAAATTTACTTATGGTGGCATGTGAACGCATTTGCTTACGTGAGTAAATATACTCCAGGAGTAAAGAGGCATGAGTAACAGTATATTTGCTACACCTGATGAGGTCTAGTAAAAGTATATTTACTCATAAGTATAAATGCTCCTGGAGTATTTCTGGTCACGTGAACAGGTTCTCTATTTGCTTACGTAAGCATATTAAATCCAAGATACTGATAATCAGGAAAATACGGCTTTAGTTCCTTGCAAAGTACATAACATGTTCATACGAAAGTAATCGATCCACAGTTTATCATCAAATGATCGTTTGACGACATTGTTCCACCAGTGATGAGAACGTTCTCTCTTCCACAGTTCTCTTCCCTGGCATAATCCTAAGACTAATCCCATACTAAGAAAGTATGGAAAGTCTCTCTTTCGCCTCTGGTTGACTATCTTCGACAGCGACATGGCCTCAAAGTCCACAATTTATTTATGAAATGATGTTTACTTCTGCCTTGCATAAACTTCATGTGAACGCAATGTAAATATACTTTTGCTTACATGAGTAAATATACTCAATGAGTAAATTTGCTTACATGAGTAAATTTTGTCCATGTGAATGGGGCTTTAATCATTTAAAAGCAAAGTCGCCTTTTACGGCAAGCATGGGTTGCTGAAGACCAATTCTACCCCGGATCTTCACGGGTTTCGTGCGTTCATGAATGGGGATGTGTGTGTGTTTTTCAGTATGTTATTTTATACATTGAATGTGCAAGAGATTTGGTTGGTTTTCGTCAACAGAAACTAATAGATTTACCCTCCTGTTGTCCAGGGTTAATACCCCATTCACATGCACCTGTTTACATATGTGTGTATCATTACACACGTGCAAATATACACACGTGTGTATACTTGACATGTGAACGCGTTTACTCATGTGTGTATATTTACACCTGGAGCAAATTTGCAGCATGTCTTGACCAGGCGCAAAAATTAATTTGCACTGTATGTAAAAATTGTCATGTGAACACATAGTAAAATATACACATGTGCATTTACTTGTGAAAAGGGACAGAGTTGCAGATTAATTGTTACATTACACCGGAAATCGTCTGGACATCAGTGTCATCATTTCTATTTATAGCCCAGATGTCTGCAGATCATCTCACTTGTTTTTTTAAGCTTCTCATTTGAGTGGAAAGTGTGACAGCTCAAAGATGCCGAAGAGACGAGGATGACGATGAAACTATGGCGCTTTTGAATATTTCGCAAGAACTTCGTGCAAAAGTTGTCATACCATTCCCTTTCATCATCGAAGGCATTTAACTTGTCCCTCCAAGGTGACTGACGATCTTTTGTTCAAACCAGTCTAACCGCTTGAGAAACCAAAGACGAAAGTCGCACACAATTTGCACGGCAGCTCTCTTCTCAAACGCCTTCGATAATAGAGTAACCTTTCCATCTTAAACCTCATGAAGTGAGTGATGGATTTCTTAAAACTGGTGACCTACACTATTTGCATACACGCCTTTCTTAAAATCATGTGAACGCATAGTAGATTTACATATAGACAGGTATATTTACACATATGCATATTTACGCACGTGAGCATTTTCTGTGCATGTGAACAGGGCTGAGTTTTCTCTTAACAGGCACCTGAACATGGACAAGCACTATTTTGTATTTTAAACATTTTTATTCCACAAGTTGCATTTACATTTTCCTAAACAGAGATATAAACTGCAGAGCAAGAGAAAGCACACACCAGTGTTTGTTTGATGGTGGCCAGAAATAAAACAAACTCGTGTTATCGCTTATTGCTATATTTCTCGCGACCGTGATTGAAGTCGATAAAGCGATGTCCCTTCTCGGCCACCATACTATAGTGCTATCACACAAGCTGCCTCCGACACACCTGTGAGCTTCACGGCAGTCGTAGTGTGAGAACACACCTGCAGATCCGCCTACCTGCGAAACAGTTTAGCGTCAGTTTACATCGTTAACACGATCTTGTGAAAATAACGACGGCCACACGTTTCCTGGTTGTTGCCGGACTGTTATCGGAACTTCACGAAAAGGTGATTTATAAATTGTTTTTCTATTAATATTCATATTGAATAGTGGAATATTCTTCGATTGCAGGTGCATTGGATGCGCCCATCATCAATGTTATAAACTCACAAGCAGGAACTGTCCCGGGGATATTCTACAGAAAGTGCCTCTGTCCCATGGATATTCTACAGAAAGTGCCTCTGTCCCAGAGATATTTTATAGTACGTCTTTCTGTCCCATGGATATTCTACAAAAAGTGCCTCTGTCCCAGGGGTATTCTACAAAATAAACAAAAAGTGCCTCTGTCACAGGGATATTCTATAGAAAGTGCCTCAGTCCCATGGGTATTCTTCAGAAAGTGCCTCTGTCCCAGAGATATTCTACAAAAAGTGCCTCTGTCACAGGGATATTCTACAGAAAGTGCATCTGTCACAGGGATATCCAATAGTAAGTCCCTCTGTCACAGGGATATTCTACAGAAAGTGCCTCTGTCACAGGGATATTCAATAGTAAGTCCCTCTGTCACAGGGATATTCTACAGAAAGTGCCTCTGTCACAGGGATATTCAATAGTAAGTCCCGCTGTCACAGGGATATTCTATAGAAAGTGCATCTGTCACAGGGATATCTAATAGTAAGTCCCTCTGTCACAGGGATATTCTACAGAAAGTGCCTCTGTCCCAGGGATATTCTATAGTAAGTCCCTCTGTCCCATGGATATTCTACAAAAAGTGCCTCTGTCACAGGGATATTCTACAGAAAGTGCCTCTGTCCCAGGGATATTCTATAGTAAGTCCCTCTGTCCCATGGATATTCTACAAAAAGTGCCTCTGTCACAGGGATATTCTACAAAAAGTGCCTCTGTCACAGGGATATTCTACAGAAAGTGCCTCTGTCACAGGGATATTCTACAAAAAGTCCCTCTGTCCTAGGGGTATTCTACAAAAAGTGCCTCAGTCCCATGGGTATTCTATAGAAAGTGCCTCTGTCCCAGAGATATTCAACAGAAAATCCCTCCGTCCCGGGGGTATTCTATAGAAAGTCCCTCTGTCACAGGGGTATTCTACAAAAGATCCCTCTGTCCCAGGGGTATTCTACAAAAAGTGCCTCTGTCCCAGGGGTATTCTACAAAAAGTGGCCCTGTCCAAGGGGTATTCTACAAAAAATGCCTCTGTCACAGGGGTATTCTACAGAAAGTGCCTCTGTCACAGGGATATTCTATAGTAAGTCATTCTGTCCTATGGATATTCTACAAAAAAAAAGCCTCAGTCCCATGGGTATTCTATAGAAAGTCCCTCTGTCACAGGGGTATTCCACAGAAAGTGCCTGTCACAGGGGTATTCTATAGAATGTGCTTCTGTCCCAGGGATATTCTATAGAAAGTGCCTCTGTCCCAGGGATATTCTATAGAAAGTGCCTCTGTCCCAGGGATATTCAATAGAAAGTCCCTCTGTCCCGGAGGTATTCTATAGAAAGTGCCTCTGTCCCATGGATAATCTACCAAAAGTGCCTCAGTCCCAGGGGTATTCCACAGAAAGTGCCTCTGTCACAGGGATATTCTATAGAAAGTGCCTCTGTCCCGGAGGTATTCTATAAAATTCCAGCAATATCAGACAGGGGGACACCAGAAATGTGCTTCACACAGTGTATCCATGTCGGGTTTGAACCCGGGTCTTCAGCTTGACCAGCGAATGCTTTAACCACTAGGCTACCCGACCGCCCCTGTGTATGTAGGAGGGTAAATAGTATATTGAGAATTGTAAGATTTAACATGTATTTTAAGATCAACACTGCCAGGTGAACTGATTTGTTTGTTTATTTAATCTCACATTCAGCAATATTACAGCTATAGGACGGCCTGTAAATAATCTTCTCCTGACAAACCAGTGATTGATATTATGAGCAACGATGTACCATGCTTGTTGGAGTCCGGTGGCACACAATCAATCCAGTCAGGTCTGCTATCATCTTACAAGCATAGGTTGCAAGGGGACACTCCAAATGTTGAATCTGAGGTGAAGCTGCTGGTGGTCAAGGTGAACTACCCTGTGTCCAGTGAAGCTCTTCCCTGTCCATTTCACAAAGAGGATTTATTTTATATAAAAAAGACAATATCAGAAAGTTCATCTTCCCATTTTATTATTAAGAAAATATGGTGTATCCCTCGTTTGTATAAGTACAAAGATGTGTAACAATAACTCCACATTCCTTA